AAGATAGGAATCATTTGGAAATCCTGTAGAATATTATATTGATTGATTATATCAATGGCATCATGCTGATCAGACAGGTTTAGCAAGAGGTTACTAGCACGTTTGAGGTTTGGGTCCCAGGGAGTGAGAAATGAACCCTTGGAAGAATCAGAAAAGGACCTGGTTCTTTATTAAAGATGTTAAGGGCCCAGTATTCAGAGGTGTGCTAGAATATCCCCTTCAAAATAAAAGACAAATTGCAGTATCTTACATCCCATTCAAGAAAGGAAAAAGCACAATGCCTAGGAAGTTGCTTTGGGTTCTGTAAGCAACATATTCTACACTTAGAAATATTTTTCTCATTCATATACCAGGTGACATAAAAAGCTGCCAACTTTGCAACCTGGCACAGGAGTTTTACAGCAGGACTGAGCTGTAGTGAAAATAGCCTTGACACTGCACTATATGATTTGGCAGATCCTATGATGTTAGAGGTGTCGTGGTGGAAATAGATGCAGTATGGAGTTTATAGAAATCTCAGTGGGAAAATTACAGTTAAGTTGCCTGGTTTCTAGATGAAGGTCTGCAAGTCTTTTGAAAAATGGCCCTTGTAATGCTATTGGGAAAGAGAAAATGCTTGACTGTGGGACACTAAGTGACACAAAACAGAATGTGCCTTAACTCCAGCCTAGGCAACAGAGTGAGACTCCATCTCAAAAAAAAAAAAAAAAAAAGAATGTGCTTTGTTGAACACATCATGTTATAAGTTCTGGGCAACCCAGCTGTAATCCATCGTAAGATGAAAGAATTACATTTGGGATGAAGCACAAAGAAGACCACAGTCAATCTCCAGGTGCAGATAGCATACATTCTGATATCATCATTATAGTTGCATCACTACCTCTCCCTCAGCTCATATTGGTAACCATATGGGGCTGAGGTGTGGTCTTGAACAAGAAGCTGAAGAAAAAAAAAATGGTTGAGCTTAGTTTATGAATGAGTTGCCCAAGAATGTGGATGAAAGCCGAAATTGGGCAGCTGCTTATATTACAATCACCTTAAAGAATAGCCTTGAAGACAGTGGAGAGAAACAGTCTTCCTAATGGGCAAAGCTTGGAGGGTACACCTTGTCATCCACTTTCTGTAGCAGAACAGGTGGCCTGAGGTTAGAATATAAATATACTTACAGGAAATGACAAGCATCCCAGCTGGCTGGTCAGAGGCCTGAAAAGAATGAGTTTAGAAGATCGCAGACAAAGAGTTCTGACGGTCTTAGAGGAACGTGGATATACATATTAGTGTGGGCAAAAAGTGTGAAGATATTTTTATCACACATCAATGTCCACAAAAAGGTATGATCTATTGAGTAAGCACTTAAAAAATGTAGAAAAATTACTCAGTTAGTTGATGTCAACCTGCCTTTATCAGTGGCCACCTCGGTGCTGGCACAATCGGCACAAGAACAAAACGGCCAGGGTGGCAAAAATGGAATGTATGCACAGGTCCATCAGCACAAAGTCTACTTACCACAGCTCATCTACCTACTTACCACCTCATCTGAAAGCCTGACCTGTGAAACTGATCCTTGATTTGACACCAGACCTTTAGGAGAGCAAGTAGACACTTGGTGGTAAGTAGTCTATACTACATTGAGATCTTTCCATTCTAGCAGTTCAGTTTTATGGGAATACTTATCTGGAGTATGCATTTGCATTTTATACTCACCAAGACTCATCCAGCACCAGTATCTGGAGACTTCCACAGTGCTTGATCCAAAGGTATGGAATATAATACAACATAGCATCCAAACAGGACTTGCTTCATAGCAAAGGTAGTGTAAGAGGTGCCTGTGACCATGGGTTCCATTGGATGTATCACATGCTGCATGCCCAGAAGCAGGTGGCCTAATAGAGCACTGGAATGGCCTGCTGAAGGTTCAGTGGAAGTACTAGCTAGAAGACAATATTCTGCAAGAACGAGGTACTGTCTCTCAAGATGCAGGGCCCCTAGTAGGAACAATACTTGGGTCCAAGAAACAAGGGATGAAGACAGGAATATAACCTAACTTACCATTTTTCTCAATGACCTTCTGGGGGACATAGAGTTCCCCATTCCTGCAACTCTGAGCTCTGTGAAATTAGAGGTCTTAATCTCCAAAGGTGGTATATTCCTGCTAGGGGACACAGTGTCCCATGGAACTAAGCTTAGCAGGTGGCTTGGAACGTGGAACTTCTAGAGTTTAGGGACCAGTAGGCAAGAAGGAAATCAATGCTTCATCAGAGGTAGCTAAATCCAAACAGCAAGAGGAGACAGGCTTGCTGTTATACAATGGGAACAAGTAAGAATATGGGTGATACTTAGGTGATGGACTTGGGCATCTCTTGGTAATCCCTTACCCTATAATGACCATTAAGGAAAAAATGCAGCAACACCTACCTGAGAAGATGATCACTACCAGGTGCTCAGACTTCCCAGGAATTGGGGTTTTATATCACCAGTATGACCATAGAGAGAAGTAGAGATGGTAGCTGGCAGCAAGGGAAATTTAGAATGAATAGTAGAGAAGAGAGAAAATGGATTCAGTGTGGCCTCAGGACCCAAAGTTGGGGACTGTAGTTTGTCTCACTAACTTCTCACTTCTAAGTTTCTTTTTAGGAAGAAATGTGCACTAGAACCCTGTAAAAGCTGCTCCAAAAATGTGTATGGAGACTGAATCCACATGGTGTAATGGATGCACTGTGACAGGCACAGAGATACGCTGCTCAGATACCTCTTTAGGAAAGGACTTACTTGTAGCCTAGCTGCAAGAAATGTGGTTAGATGATAGCCTTTAACTGTTCACATCTTCACGTCTACCTTGGGTTTTCAGTTGAGGCAACAGTCCTCTTAAGGTGGCTCTAGCCAATGACTGAAAATAACTGGTACAAGGGTCTAGACATTTCATCCCAATGCAGGCCTCTTCATCTTTATTATGGAGCTACCCTGCCCAATACTATTTCCTCCCTTTTCCTTTCACCTTTTTCATTCATAATTCTTTCTCAGTGTCTGCTTCCTGAAGGACCCAACTGACAAATCTATTATTTTCCAGCTCCATCTAGTTCTCTGCTCAGTCTTTTCTAGTTCTGTCAATCATTGTAGAGGTAGTGTATTCCTCAGCGTTCCCTAGAGGGACAGAACTAATAATATATACGCCGGGCGCAGTGGCTCAAGCCTGTAATCCCAGCACTTTGGGAGGCCAAGGCGGGCGGATCACAAGGTCAAGAGATCGAGACCATCGTGGTCAACATGATGAAACCCCGCCTCTACTCAAAAATACAAAAAAAAAAAATTAGCTGGGCATGGTGGTGTGTGCCTGTAATCCCAGCTACTCAGGAGGCTGAGGCAGGAGAATTGCCTGAACCCAGGAGGCGGAGGTTGCGGTGAGCCGAGATCGCGCCATTGCACTCCAGCCTGGGTAACAAGAGCGAAACTCTGTCTCAGAAAAAAAAAAAAAAATATATATATATATATATGTGTGTGTGTGTGTGTGTGTGTGTGTGTGTGTGTAAAGGGGAGTTTTTTAAGTATTAACTTACATGGTCACAAGGTCCCATAATAGGCTGTCTGCAAGCTTGAGGAGCTAGGAGAGTCAGTCTGAATCTCACAACTGAAGTCCAATGTTTGAGGGCAGGAAGCATCCAACATGGGAGAAAGATGTATGCTGGGAGGCTAGGCCAGTCTCGCCTTTTCACGTTTTTCTGCGTGCTTTACATTTGCTGGCAGCTGATTAGATTGTGCCCACTAGATTAAGGGTGGGTCTGTCTTTCCCAGTCCACTGACTCAAATGTTAATCTCCTCTGGCAATACCCTCACAGACACACCCAGGATCAATATTTTACATCCTTCAATCCAATCAATTTGAAATTCAGAATTAACTATCACAGGTAGTATTGTGGATTTTTAAATATATGAATACAAATGTTCATGTCCAGATACATCTCCTGTGCTTTGTATTGGTGTACCAAAATGCACCATGAACAATGGCCAAATATCTTAAATATGAAATAAAATAGATAACACTATTGTATACCAGCAGTTATCTTAAATGCATTATGTGAATCAACTAATTCAATTCTAAAAACTACTGCATGGGTGGGTTCTATTAGAATTTCCATTTAACAAATCAGGAAACGGGCACAGAATGTGAAGTTACTTGCCCCAGTGATCCATAAATAATCAAAGAACTCATGACTCAAACATAAGTGATCCAACTGCAGTGTTTTTATTCTTAATCATCACACTCTGCCTCCAGAAAGGAGTGGAAGCACAGCACTCTAAAATTGTAATAGAGAAGTGTGTGGAAAAACCAGGCCTGGTTTACGAAAGGTTTGAAAATATAAAGATATTCTTGTTTTAGGAAGAGAGTTTCCAAAAGAGCAATTAGTTGAACTTTTAGGTTTTGTTGCCAGCGAAAAGTGAAGTTTAAAGAAACAGGTTGTTCAAAGCCCAAGTTCTGCACTCTGTACAAACTGCTACTTCCCACTCAGCCAGGCAATCTCCTTACTCTCAGGTCATACCAGTTGGTACCATAACCTAAAAGAGAGGCAACATCGTCTCTACAGCATGTTTTTCCTCATTATTTTACTCTATTTATGATCTAATATTCTCCCATTCTCTTGGTCTGGACGTCTTGGAATTAGACATGTAACATTTGGTAACATTTTTGCTTATTAGGCTCTTGGTCAACCTCTATTATAAAGTCTCAGGAAAATCTCTTAATATTTTCAAGGAAAAGTGACAAGTGACTGATTTTTAAAAAATTTCCCCTAAATGCAGAGAAATACTTCTAGATTAAAGTAAATTCGGCTAGACTCTAAACACTATTAGGTTGCCAGTGAGCACTTTGGATGTTACCTGTAGGCGCCCATCTGTATGAACTACAATTCCCATCTTACACCGCGCCCTTCCATGCTAAACTACAATTCCGCTTTCGTCATTTCCGTCAACACAGGCGCTGGATTTCGGACTTTGTAGTTCATGTCAACTTCTCTTTTTTGTCGCCATTTTGATAAGATAGTGTGCCTGGATCGACCACTTTGACTCCGGTATTATGATGTGGTATTTGAAATAAATTAAAAGGATAACGTGTCAAGCCAGTTAAGCGTCAAGCTTTTACTTCACTATCCGCATTCTTCCTACTGTCGGTGGTCGGGAAAAGGAAGTGACGTACATCCGGTGTAATGGCGGCGCGGTGGAGCTCTAGGTAATTATCCAAACTCCGTGGAGTCCCCGCAGGCAGCGAACCGGAGCGAGGGTGGCGGGTCGCTGGATCGGGTGGGAAGTGAAAGAGGCCCAGGAGTGGGTGCGGGCCCTCTGGTACGGCTGTGAGCGGCGTGGCTGTCTTCCCGCCCGTCCCTGGCCCGCGAGGGGCGTGTGAGAGCGGCTGCGGCCGAGGAGCCGGAGCCGGTGGGGAGGGAATGGGCTGTGTCAACTCACTCACTGCCTGCGCCGACCCGCCGACCTTTCTGGTGAGGTTCTTGGAGCTATCTGAAATCCCGCGCCAATCCTGGTGTGCTCTTGTTTCGTGTGCAGTGTGTTTTGTACTTAGAGCCTCTGGAGTCATTTGGGCTTACGAAAGCCCCTTTATTAGTGCCCAGATCCCCGCGCCAAGAGAGTCGGATTAATGAGTTGATTAGAAGTTGAAGTGCTTGCACTCTCGTGCCTTTTCCGGCGTTACATCCTTTTGACTATTTGTGTGAAATTTCATTAGTGGTTTCTTCTTCATTTATTTGCCCTGTAAATACTGATAAGTTCTAGTGTCTAGTTTCGAAGACCCTTCATTTCTCCTGTGTCCTGTTCATCTATCTGTCATCCTTTACCCATCTCTAGTGAGGTAATAGCTGCCAGACTTGGCTTTCCAGGCTCCACCTCTCGAACGAGCTCTGGGTCCTACAGTGCAGCATTATATAATGGAAATATAATAGTTAATTTCACTGAGTTTAACTGCAGAAACCGCGGTACCTATTTCTCCTTAATCTTCGCAATTCTTTTGAGGTAAGTGGAGAAGGCAGGATTTGGAGAAGGGCTATTAGATGCAAGAATTAGCTAAGAGTTTCCTTTGCATTTTTAGGTGTGCAGAGACTCGAAATAGATAAGCAAACTTGGTCCTCAGCAGATCAGTTAACCTAACTCTTACCTGTATTTAGGATTGCTTGGAAATTCGGGAGTTAACATAAATTATCCTACTATGGAAGGGCAGATTTAAAAATCGCATTAAAAGTGTGGTTTTGACCAGGAGAAGCATTGTAACAGGCAATATCAGTAGTAGGAGGAAACTCACTTGTGTTGGTCCTGGGTGATGGATTAATAGACCAAATATTTCAATTTTATTCGGCAGTTATTAGGTCTGTCACGTGGAGCAAGTTATCTAAAGTCTTTAGTGTCAGCTTCATCATCTGAAAACAATCCAATGAGGCAGGTATTGTATTATTACCTCATCTGTAGGTAATGACCTGCCTCATTGGATTGTCTTTTTTGGAGTTTAAAGAAAACTAATGCTGATGAGGCACCTAGCACAGTGCCTGATATACTGTTTTAGCTTTATGTTATTTTAAATTACTACGATGATACAGTTGATGAGTTCTCTCTGTGCCTCCATTCTTGTTCTCTGGTTCTGAATGTTGCCTTTCCACCTTTAAGTGTCCTTCCAGTTTTAAGTGTCCATGTCACTTTTATGGAGTCTTTCCCAACTCAGTTGACTGCGGCTCTGAGACTGTCTTAGTTATAAGCTAAAGGCCAAGAACTTTGATCTAATATCCTGGTCTCGTGCTTCCAAAAATGTGGTCTTCTGAATCAACAGCCTCATCTCCTTGAAGCTTGTTAGCAATGTAAATTTCTGTGCTTCACCCCAGTTCTGTTGAATCAGAAACGTGGAAATGGAGGCCCAATGATTTTATTTTTGTTTGTTTTTCCAAGGCATTCCAGTGATTCTCATGTCAGTTAGTTTGAGAACTTGTCATCTAGCCCATCCTTTAGGGACATACTATGGTTCGTCCTTCCCCTGCCCTCAGAATCAGGTTTGATGCCCTCCTTGCTCCAAAGTACTTGATCCGTGGCCAGCTAGTATTTATTATTGTGACACCACATCCTTCCCTGCTTTGGATAGGTTATCTTCACTCACTTTTTGGAGTTCTGACACTTCCTAGACTACTTAATTGTTTTTTCTGAGCTAGCTTTCTTAGCTCTGTTAGCTTTCCCAGCTGCTGAATTTGTAGAATTTAATGCTCCCGGTGGGGCGCGATGGCTCACACCTGTATTCCCAGCACTTTGGGAGGCTGAGGAGGGTGGATCACTTGAGATCAGGAGTTAGAGACCAGCATGGTCGACATGGTGAAACTCTGTCTCTACTGAAAATACCAAAAAAAAAAAAAAATTAGCTTGTGGCTGGGCGCGGTGGCTCACGCCTGTAATCCCAGCACTTTGGGAGGCCGAGGTGGGTGGATCACGAGGTCAATAGATCAAGACCATCCTGGTCAACATGGTGAAACCCCGTCTCTACTAAAAATACAAAAAATTAGCTGGGCATGGTGGCACGTGCCTGTAATCCCAGCTACTTGGGAGGCTGAGGCAGGAGAATTGCCTGAACCCAGGAGGCGGAGGTTGCGGTGAGCTGAGATTGCGCCATTGCACTCCAGCCTGGGTAACAAGAGCGAAACTCTGTCTCAAAAAAAAAATAAAAATAAAAAAATTAGCTTGTAGCCTCAGCTACTCGGCAGGCTGAGGCGCAAGAATCACAAGAACCCTGGAGGTGGCGATTGCAGTGAGCTGACATTGCTCCACTGCCCTGTAGCTTAGAGGACAAAATGAGACTCTGTCTCAAGAAAAAAAAAAGAAGTTAGCTTTCGTTCCAGTGCTTGTACATTGTTGAGAGACTTACAGTGGCTTGTACCTGAGACCGCCCAAAAGACAACACAGTGACACACTTTATATTTCATATGCCCGTGCCTTAACTTGAATAATATTTTCAATTTATTGTCCACCTGCATTTAGATGGAATTTTGTACTACCTGTCATATCCCTAACTTGGTCATCGTTTGTTCATGGTGCCTGGAGCTAGTCCAAGAAACAAGTGGCTATTGGTAATATATCTGATCCCACTGATAACTTTGAAGGCTTCCTTGTTGAATTTCCCTGCTTTTCTGATTATCTGAGCATGGGAGAGTGGTGGAACAATAAAGCCACAGAGCATAGTAGTTTTAGCAAATTCCCAGACTTACGCTTTTTCTCAGTATATACATTCCCAAGTGGACATTGGAAGAGACATTTGAATGCCTATAACAAAGTGCAAACTTTAAGCATGGATTAAAGCAAGCCTTTACTGTATGTAGTCAAGTTAGTAAGTCTTTCTCAGTGAACAGATACCAAAAATGGGGTATGGGCTGCCTTGGCCTTGGGACATAATAACTTCTGGAGAATGGGTTAGCTGGTGGGAAGGAGGAACTCAGTGGTGACTCTGTCTCTCAGTCTAGCTTATAAATGGGTGGAGCTAGACAGAGTTCAGCCCTTCCACCTGAAAAGTTGCCTTGTGAGTCCTTCCTGAAATAGTTGGTCAGAATAGCTTTATTTTAGACCTGGCTACAGGAGCCTCTGTAGTAGAATGCAATGCTTGCGTGTCTAGGGGCTAAATTTCTCTATGGAGGCCAACACCTCCAAGTTTTCTTTAAACCAGAATGTGGTCTACTAAGTAGCTTTCTAATTAAATAATCAGAAAGGTGACTTTCAAAGCTGTGCCATGAAAATTGGCAGAATGTATTCGCCCATATACTTAATTAGGCAAGCTGAGGAGCAGATTTGGGGTGGGAGAGAGTGGTTTGAATGTATAATGAAGGCATATGGCATATTCAGTAATTAGGCTTGATTTTGTAAGTTGAAACAACTGCGCCTTCAGGGTTGGATTTCCTCTTGCAGTGCCTGCAAAGGGACTAGTATTTTTTTCATCTCACTCAATGAAGAAGTGTTTTCAAGCTACTCCACAGGTTAACATGGAATGAAGAACTAATAGGGGCTGGCATCTGATAGTGCTGTCTTGATGCACTAAGACTTGGAAATCTTAGTATTTCCAAGAAGTAGGAGTTAAAAGGTGAGATAAGGCTGCTGTTGTATTCCTTGATGAGCAAGTTGACAAAATGGCGTTATAGGGAGTTCTTTGTAGGAAAAAAAAAATAGGAGTAATCAGCAGAAATATACACTCCTCATTTTTTTATTTAATTTTAGAGTTGGAACTTACTAAGTAGCAGACACTGTCCTAGGTTCTGGATATGTAGCAGTGACCAAGAACCTTGAAGATCCAGTGTACTCATACAGAGCCTTTCATAGTTGAGCTTAATGAGTCTTGCATCTTCCTTATTCATATACACTCTAGAATCCCCAAATTCTCTGTCCCTGAGTCTCTACGCATGCTTATCTGTCATTTCCTGAATGACCTCTTTCCCCTTTCTATATGGATAATTTATACTTGTCTTTCAAGACTCAGCTTTAAGACCTACTTCTTCCTGTGTCCCAAACCCTCTTTTCCAGTTATACTTTGTTTATAACATTGTTGTAGGACTTAGACATTTTTAGACATTTCTTCTTTACCCTAGGACAGAGTCCTCAGTGCTTTGTGTGCTGTGTAATTATGTATCTCCTGACTATACATAGGCACTGCCTTAAGTAAAGACCACAATCATACTTTGTTTCTCTTAGTTTCATACTTTCTTATTTTCTCTGTAAGCACTTTTATTTTTTCTTCTTTTACTATTTTTTTGGGGGATGGGATCTCATTGTGTTGCCGAGATGCTGGGACTATAGGCCCGTGCCACTGCAACCAACTTTTCTCAGTCACTGAATATAACTATTAACTATGACTCTAGCCGCATCACTTTTTTGGTCCTGTTTTCCTGTACAAAATTCTTCAATTGTTGTAACCTCACAAAAGTAGACTCTTGTGCACAAATACAAACCTCAAAAAGTGAAGGAAGCTTTCAGTGAGTGATTAAAAACACAAGAGCTATTTTTACCATAGGCATATATTAAGTAGAGTGTTGAGGGTTACGGTACAGGTTTGAAATTTAAGATTTTGTTTTATAATTGTTGTCATTAAAATGGATATCATTGGATTCATTAAAACATCTTTTTTTTTTTTTTCACCCCTCTGTCTTACTGTCTTAAAGCGTCTCAAAATTTGGGCTGTCTACTCTCCACACAGAGTTGCAGATCAGTCAA